CATAAATCTGTTCCCTATACACCCCAGCAGAATGAGATTGCTGAAAGGATGAATAGAACTCTCTTAGAGATGGTGAGGGCTATGTTGGCCACATCTGGGCTCTCCAAGAAGTTCTGAGGAGAAGCTATTTGTACTGCGGCCTATTTAATTAACAGGTCCCCTTCTGTTCCCTTAGGAGGGAAATGCCCTGAATTTGTGTTCACGGGCAAACCTCTTATTTTAAATAATTTAAGAATTTTCAGGAGTGCTGGCTATGTGCATCAAAAGATTGATAAGTTAGAACCTAGATCTAAGAAATGTGTTTTCTTAGGATACCTTGAAGGGGTAAAAGGTTATAGGGTTTGGAATAAGAGTGAACCGGGGTTTAAGATAGTGATAAGCAGAGATGTTATTTTTAATGAAAATGATGTTCCTTGTTTACCTTTACATGTTCCTATTCCTGAAAATGATGCTCCAAATGAGGTGGAGCAAATTCCTATTATTAATCAACCCAAATCACCTCCTGAAGAAAAATGAATGATATAATTATCAAGATGAGATTATTCCTAATGAGGTGGAGCATGATATGCAGGAAATAGATAACATGTATGATTTGAATAATTATCAACTCACTAGGGATAGAAATAAAAGAACTATTAGGAAACCTGAAAGATATAGAGATTGCAATTTGATTGATTGTAATATGTCTGAGTTTGTCTTTAATGTGTTTGAATCCCTTGAGTGCAATGAACCTAAGACTTATAGAGAAGCATTAAAATCTAAATATTCTGAAGAATGGATTAGTGCTATGAAGAGTGAGATGGAATCCCTAAGAATTAACCAAACATGGAAACTTGTTCCTAAACCTGCTAGTTGTTCTGTAGTGGACTGTAAGTGGCTGTTTAAGGTGAAACAAGAATCTGAAAGTGTTAGGTTTAAGGCTAGGTTAGTAGTTAAGGGATTTACTCAAAAGGAGGGAATTGATTATGCTGAAATTTTTGCTCGTGCTGTCAAATTCACTACTGTTAGAATTATGCTTGCTTTAGTTGCTAATTTTAATTAGGAATTAAAACAAATGGATGTAACTACTGCTTTCTTGCATGATGATCTTGATAAAAATATTTATGTGCACCAACCTGAGGGCTTTGTGGACCCTAAATTGTCTGATCATGTGTGTTTGTTAAAAAAAGGCTTTGTATGGTTTAAAACAATCACCTAGGCAATGGAATATTAGATTTGATAAATGCATGCAATCTTTAATGTTTAAAAGGAGTTTTGCTGATCATTGCCTGTATTATAAGAATATAGACTCTGTGCCCGTATTTCTTGTAATTTATGTGGATGACATGTTGATTGTTAGTCCTTGTTTGAAGTCTATTGAGCATATTCAAAAATGTCTTTGTGAAAATTTTGACATGAAAGACTTAGGTGATGCTAAAAGAATCCTAGGCATGAATATTATTAGGGACAAAAACAAATCTATTCTAGTTTTAAACCAAAGTTCATATGTTGGAAAATTTTTGAGTAAATTCTCCATGTCTGATGCCAAATCTGTGGATGTGCCTCTTGCTTCTCATTTTGTGTTAAGTAAGGATCAGTCCCCCAAGACTGAAACTGAAATAAATGATATGAAGAAGGTGCCATATTCGAATGCTATAGGATCTGTCATGTATCTCATGGTTAGTACTAGGCCTGACATTGCATATGCGGTTAGTTGCTTGAGTAGATATATGTCAAACCCTGGTATGCCTCATTGGAATGCCTTGAAGTGGCTTTTAAGATATTTGAAATCCTCTGTGGATGTAGGATTAACCTTCTCTAAGTGTTCTAAAGGTGTTAAACTTGTTGGCTATGTAGATTCCAAGTATGCAAATGATAGAGATAATAGAAAATCTATCACTTCCTATGTGTTTACTTTGTGTGGCTCTTGCATAAGTTGAAAATCCCAACTACAGCCCATTGTTGCTCTATCAACTATAGAATCTGAGTATGTTGTTGCCACTGAAGCTTTTAAAGAAGCTATTTGGCTTAGGGGCCTTATATCTGAAATTGGTTTTCTTGATAAAAATGTGGTTGTATTTTCTGATAGTCAATCTGCTATTCAACTTTGAAAAAATCCTATTTTTCATGATAGAACTAATCATATTGATGTTAGATTTCATTATATTCAGGATATAGTTGAAAATGGTATTGTCAAGTTAGAGAAAATTCACTGAGAATTTAATCCTGCTGACTTAGGTACTAAGTGTTTGTCTGCTGAAAAATTTATCTCGTGTCAAAGAATCTTGAATTTTGACTTTGGGTAATTTTTCCGTTGCTTTGTGTGTTGCCTTTGTGGCCTATTAACTTACTTTGTGCTTAGCTTTGTGATGTTTTCCCTTTTAACTCGATGACCGTTTGGTAGAGTTCGGTCATTTGTGGACTTGGTATGCTTGGTGAACTTACCCTAATCTTTGTGATCTGAGTTTACTTTGTGTATTCTCTTCCATTGCGAGTATCTTCTTTGTGATCATATAGGTAATAGTTTGGCGATGATGAGTCCTGCAGTTCCGTGTTTTTCTCAGTGCACTACATTGGGCCAAAGGTGGAGATTGTTGCTATTTTGTTAGCCGAAAATCTAGCCCGTTACCAAATGGCCCAGCTCCCCACTGTCTTGTGCCCTAGCCCATCTCTAACCTCCCCCTACGCGATGATACTCAGCCTCTTCCCATCTCCTACCCGATGGTACTCTGTCCCTTCCACCATACCTGTGTCCGGTTGGCTGCCGCTGTGAGTCACATCTTTGATCCCTCGAAACCCTACCCTCTCTCCTGTGTCGGCTGTCCCCTTCTCCATATCTTTCGAAGTGTTTGGTAGTAGCTCGGGGTGGGAAAAGAAAGCTGAGCTTGAGCTCCTCTGCTGTGTGTGATCCCCTCCTCTCTTCTGTGAGCTTTGTGCTCCTGTGAGCTCTGTGCTCTCACCCCTTTGTGCGATCTCTTTCCTCTTTGTGACTGGTTTAAGCCGAAGATCAGTGGGCTCCCCTTTGTGATCTTGGTGGTGCACTGTGAGAGAAGAACATGAACTAATTGAGCAGGCTTCTGAGCCAAACATCAACGACGACGATACATAACAATAAGCAATGTTGTACTATACATTTCTTATATGATTGTTCATGAATATAGATATCACCAGAATGATAAGAACAACTAGTAGAATAATGAATATCCTAGACGGATTATTGCAGATGGAAAATTTTCCGTCTAGAATACTTTATTCTAGACGGAAATTTTCTGTCGAGGAAATTCCGTCTAGAATATTATATTCTAGACAGAAATTTCCGTCTGTAATAGTATTGCAGACGGAAATTTTTTTTTATTTTTATTTTTTGAAATTTATCGATTATCCTAGATGGAAATTTCCGTCTAGGATACAACCTAGACGAAAATTTCCGTCAAGAAGCTATAGGTTCAGTTTATATTTCATAAAACCCGCAGCTCGAGCCCTAAATCCCCAAATCTTGATTTTCACTCGCCTTTCTCTCTCTCGATCGCGATCATCTGGCCCGTCGTCGCCGGAGTCCTCAGATCTCGTTCAACAGCCTCGCCATCGCCGTCGTTGCCGTCGAAGCCGTCGACGCCTTTCAGATCTCGTCGGAGAATCCCTCTGCCGTCGCCATCGTCATCGTCGCCTTCTTCCTCGCCGTCCCGTCATCGCCTTCTTCCTCGCCGTCCCGTCGTCCCCCTCTGTCGAAAAACTCTGACACGGTGAGCTTAGCTTTCGATCTTTCTCAAACCCTAGTTTTCTCAAACCCTAAAAATCTCTTTGGCTAAACCTTAAGATGATCTAATTTCTATAGCCCTAAAATTGCTCATGATAATGGTTATGCCCGATTCAGCAAGATTCCATATGTGAAAATTATGCTCACCTATCCATTATCCTCGTATTTGTATTGTATTGGAGAAATTTTTCTAGTACAGTTTTTTTTTGTCACTAACAATTTGTAGATGAATTAGTTGGTCCTTCTTGCAAGTTTAGATTATGATTTTTAAAGAAAAAGGTCATTGTAAAACGAGTAATTAACTTGGATTTGAGAAAATGAGGTGAAAGTTAACGGCTGATCGTTTGTTGAAGACGACCCGGTGAAAGTTTACTTGATTCTGTTTGGATCAAAAGTTTACTTGATTCTGTTTGGATCAATGGCAACTTCTATTTCTGTTATCTTGTTTTGCTAGTTAAGCCCACAAGGATCTCATGTTTATCAAACAGTTGGTGATTTGAATTGTACAAATGTGATTATATAGGTTTGTGATTTGCAAATGTGTGAGTTATGGAAGAAAAAGTTTTCAAAAAATAGAGTGATATATAACGCAATATTATATAATAATGTGTTATATATCCAATTTAGGTAAAAAATATAATGTTAACCCTAGACTCCCGTCCAATAATTACAGCCAATTCTTTGAGGTTATAATATAAGATGAATGAGTCAAATTTGGGTAAGAGGTAAATTTTCCTACTCGATATTTATCGTTCACTTAATATTATAATAGAGATGAATTGGTATAGAAATTTGTAATTATTGGATCTGTCCTTCTCGGACGGGTTAGGAATATAGTAGTGCATACATCCAACTTTGTATACTTTGTATGATTTCATATCTTAAAAATTTTGGCAGCTTGTACCTGTTGTTCTCCGTGTACAATAAGCGTATATTGTTCTGCGTTTTGATATGTTGTCAGTGCGCATAAAAACATCCGCACAGTGTACAGGGAGAACAGCGGGTAGGTGCTGCCGAAATTTTTAAGAAATGAAAATATACAACGTATATGAAGTTGGATGTAAGCACTATTATATTCTTAATGAAATAGAAGCCTTCCTATGACAGTCGTTAGAGTGTGCTAATTAGTCTCCGTACCTTAATAAGTTTCAAACATACCTTAATGCCGATACTTAAATGCAACAATGTATGTTTTGAATAGTTTAAAATTTTTGGGTATACTATCTATTCTCAAATAGAGTTTCTAAATATATATTATATACAGATGAGGAATATTCCTGACATGTCATGGATAGATATCCCTAGGAGTGAACGGTTTCGTGATCAACGTTATGTCGATGGATGTGAAGCCTTCATGAAGTATGCCGAAATGAACCCAAAAAATTTAAGTAGCGGTGCAATGTACTGCCCCTATTATAGGTGTAAGAATATAAAGCTGAAAAATAAAGATGAAATACGAAGTCACTTAGCAAACTCTGGTTTTTACGAGGAATATAAATACTGGTCCTATCACGGGGAAGGTCGTACTGAAGATGAAGTCCCGGATGTGCATGTCGATACCAGTCATGGTGTCAGGATAGATGATACAGAAGTAAATTTACAAACTGATATCGGACCCGACCATACCGAATACGATATTAACAATGACAATGAAGATGATATCATAGTTGATGTCCAAGATGCTCATGCTCCTGAGGACTTGGATCGTATAATGAAACTACTAGAGAATAGTGAAAAGGATCTGTATGAGGGTTGCACCGACTACTCCAGATTTTCATTTATCTTGGAGCTTTTACATATTAAGAGCCTCAGTGGAATGGCAAATACTTGTTTCGAAATGCTTCTTGATTTGCTGCGGAAGGTAGTTCCAGGAGGAGAGCGTAGCATTCCTAAAACAACTTATGCGGCAAAGCAAATAGTTTCTGATTTGGGGCTTGATTGCAATAAGATTGATGCGTGTCCCAATGATTGTATTCTCTACAACAAGGATAATAAAGACCTTCAGGCATGCCCTACATGTGGAGTTTCTCGATGGAAACAACAAACCCGCTCTTCAACAAGGCAGCCAACAGAGTCAATGTACCAGCAGAGCATGATTCCAGCTAAGGTGCTTCGCCATTTCCCATTAGTTTCCAGATTGCAACGTCTGTATATGAACAAAGACACTGCTAAGAACATGAGGTGGCACAAAGAATAGTTTCCAGATTGCAACGTCTGTATATGAACAAAGACACTGCTAAGAACATGAGGTGGCACAAAGAAGCCCGTATTGAAGATGGTAAGCTGAGACATCCAGCTGATGCAGAGGCTTGGAAGCATATTGATAAGATTTTTCCCAATTTCGCTCGTGAATGCAGAAATGTCAGACTTGGGCTTTCGAGCGACGGATTCAATCCGTTCGGGGTTATGAGTTCAGGTTGGTCTACATGGCCAGTTGTCTTAATGCCCTATAATTTACCCCCACTGCTTTGTATGAAACAACCGTATATGATACTCTCATTACTAATACCGGGTAAGCATGCACCAGGTAATGATATTGATGTCTACTTAGAGATCTTAATTGATGAGCTAAAACAGTTATGGTCGGAGGGTATGTTGATATATGATGCCCATGCTAAAGAGTCATTTAGACTTCGTGCTATCCTAATGTGGACAATTAATGATTTTCCAGCTTATGCTAATCTTTTTGGTTGGTCGACAAAAGGCAAGTTTGCTTGTCTAGTATGTGGCCCAGAATTTGAAGGCCTTCACTTACCATATAGTCGAAAGTGTTGTTATTGGTTCAACAGGAGATGGTTGCCCTCAGGGCACAAATACAGAAAATTGAGTAATAAATTTGATGGCACTATTGAGACTAGGAATAAACCACGTCAAATGACCGGTGCTGATATTGTAAAGTTGCTTGAACATCTACCTAAAATTAGATTTGGTAAGAACCGATACTCTAAGTATGACTCACTCAAAGCTAGAGGCTCCTGCAAAAAAGAAAAAGACACTGAAGAGGAAGAGAGCATTCCAACGGGCACATGTTGATAATGGAGTTGATAAATTACCAAAAGGATGAAGTAAATTCAGTATCTTCTTCCAGCTGCCATACTGGTAAAAGCTTAAAATCAGGCATAACTTGGATGCCATGCATATTAAGAAAAATGTTTGTGACAACATAGTTTCAACCCTCCTTCAAGATCCTAATAAGTCAAAGGATGACCTAAGGGCTCGTCAAGACTTAGCTGCATTGAATATTCGAGAAGATTTGCAAGCACAAGATGTTGGACTTAAAAAAAACATAAGCCTTCCTCTCGTGTTACGATGTCGACAGAGCAGATGCAGAGATTTTGTGAGGTCCTGAAATCAGTAAAATCACCGGATGGGTATTCAGCTAATATATCAAATAATGTCCAGGTGCAGGAGAGGAAGCTCTTAGGCTTAAAGACCCATGATTATCACGTTCTTCTACATCAATTGCTCCCGGTTGCATTGCGTAATAATATGGAGAAAGAAGCATCGAAAATTATTATGGAGTATTGTGGGTTCTTCAGAAAATTGTGCTCAAAAGTTATAGATGTGAAGGAATTTAAAAAGCTTGAAACAGAAATATCATTAATTTTATGCAACCTGGAATTAATATTTCCTCCTTCCTTTTTCACGGTCATGGTCCATGTTACTCAACATCTAGCTAGCGAGGCAATCATTGCGGGTCCTGTATCTTACCGTTGGATGTACCCAATTGAGAGGTAAGGGACTTCACCCAGTGCATTAATTTCATATGCAATGTATACAGCTAATATTTGTCCTTTTCGTGATTTTCTTTAGATTAGATATTTGTAGTTCATAAAATTTTAATTATTGTAGATATTTGGGGTTTATGAAGCGTCTAGTTCGCAATCGAGCTCATCCAGAGGGTTCTATGGCTGAAGGTGACGTGACCAACGAATGTCATACGTTTGCATCACGTTACATGCGCAACAGCGTAAAAGCTGATCAGCCCCCAACTAAGGAGAAGAAACTCGTAAAATATCCAAGATCTGACTTGGAGCAGGTTCATGCATATGTATTGAATAATCTTGACATTTTCAGCGATTATCGAAGGTAATGTACATTAATTTAGGAATAGGATGACACTTGTATTATTTACATTCATTGTACCAATACAATCTCATTGTTGTATAAATAGGTCACATTTGGAGAAGCTTAACAATAAAATAACAGGCATTATATCCAAAACAAAAAACACATCAAATAATTTCCCGATTGGTTCAGAACCGATGTAAGTAGCGTAGAAGTAGTATTGTATTTTTTATTTTTAAATTTTTAAGCAAACTCGGAGATTATTTTATTCAATTGATGCTTGAATTAGGTTGATAAAGACGTTCTTGCTGGTGCTATAATCTCTGAAGATATTTTAGTTCACACACAATGTCCTTACTATGAAGTGAGACGATATAGTGAACACATCATTAATGAGTATAAGTTTAAAACAGTGGCGATCGATGATAAGAGGGTAACGCAAATAGCGGGGTCATGGTCTGTTTTGCTCAGGAATGTTTTTCTAGCATAAGAGATCAAAACCCTGTTGAAGCTGACATCTTATATTATGGCAAGTTGGAAGATATTGTAGAGATAATTTACGGCTATGGTAAAAAAAGTCAGCGTAATTATTGCATGTTTAAGGTTCGCTGGAGTCCTGCCAAACCACGCAAGGATCATTATGGGTTTACACTAGTAAACCTCGACAAAAAGATATATCTAAATGAGAAGTTCATATTCGCAGAACAGGCGGACCAGTGCTTCTATGTGAAAGACCCAAAGGTTGCCGCCGATTGGGTCGTTCTATACAAGGAGCCAAGATCTATTGTCCTCCCTAATAATAACGCCGATAGTGATGAGGACAATGAACCAATTGGTTCTTCTAATGAAATTTGGCAAAATTTCTCTTACCCTCAGAATGTCATGCTTGATATGACAGATGCGGAGATTCAGGCTGACAACCCAATTTTAGTCAGGGATAGAGAACCAGAGGCAGATGTGCAACTAGAATCAACTACTAGTAGACGAAAGCAGGCAACGTTAAATATAGCCCGAGCAATACAAACAATACCTCGTTCAATACGAAAATAGCAAGTTGTAGAAGGTATATTATGTATGTCATTTTGTGCGCGAATGTTATTTAAATTTTTAATTGCAATAAATGTTTATCTTGTGAATTAGTAGGCAAATATTTCGTATTGACCTTTCCTAATTCCATGTTACAGATGAAGAACTCGAGGTTATTCAATCGATCGCGTGATCGGTCACGATCTACGAGCCTAGGCTCAGAACAGCTTCGGGAGGCCCTAATTTCATCACATACGGATATAGGTATGAATTTCAATTATCTTTGTAAAACTCAAAGTAGACAAATGAAACATCATTTAGGCTAAGTTCTTTTTATATGGGTAGATGATGCGGAATTGTCGGGTCGTCTATGGGACACAACTCCAGCATTCTCGCCTCATATAGGTATTAATCATATATGTGTTTGTAATATTTATCCAATCATATTTAAAGTCCAGCTTTTGTATTTAAAATCTATTGTATGTTAGCAATATTAATTTTTATTTGCATAGATAATTTGGCAGGCATTGATTATTCTTCACCCGGAGCCACTGATTCACATGCAGAGCCCTCCCAAACTACAGATAATGGTGTCGCAATATATTTATTTTTGCTTTGCATCTCAATATAATGATCCTTCAATTTTCTTGTATTGATTATCTTCTTTAATCATTGTAGAGGGTTCTTGGACACCATCGTCTTCGCATCATACGTAGGGGGCCGAGTTGCGTTCGTGGACCCCTGACATCCCCCATCCACCATTGCCTCCAGACTCGATCATATCAAAGACTAATGCTTTGAAGTATCATCCACTTGCACTCAAAAGGCTAGATGAACTATAGTCTATGATCATTGTTAGAAAGAAAGTTGCAACCGAAGCGATGGATAGAGAAGTGGCGAGAGGTAAATTTAATAATTTTGTCCTATTGTTTTT